ATAAGAAAAAGATTAAATAGAGTTTTTAGATATGTGGATAAATAATAGATATATAAGAAATGTATAAAAGTATATATATATATATATAAATTAAAAATAGGAGGGAGATAAATATAAAAAATGATATATATATATATATATATATATATATATATATATATATATATATATATATATATATATATATATATATATATATATATATATATATATATATATATATATATATATATATAAGCTGTGAATGAGTGTGGCAGTATACATGGAGATGAAGATGAACAAATTAAAATGGGAGCCTATTTAGTTGAGGGGAATGTTGTCCGGATCGAGGACTATATATACAGTTTTGGTTGATATCTGATTTGTAGTCTTGATGAAGAACACCATATCTATTTATTTGTCGTCGGACCAGGCTTCATTCCCCCCAATTATAATTGCTCCGCTCCACTCCGATCCACTGCTCTTCGAGATATATCCAAAGGTATTTTTCCTTAATCTGTTACTCCCATTAATTGAACAGAAATTTGTTTATAAGTTTAGTAGATGATGAATTGGGGGACAAGGGTTTTTCGTTAGTAATGATTAGGGGATGATTGTTCACTTGAATTTTCACAAGGAGGAGAGAGAAAGAAAGGTAATCATCATCATTATATAAAAGGAATGTTATGATTGTGTTTTTGTGTCAGATCGCCTTTTTCTGGGAATTATTTTTACATTTTCTCATGATCGATATCATACGATGATGATGATGATGATGCCTTTTTAGTATATCTTCAGATCTGGCTATTTCTATCTTTTTCAGATCTTCAGTCTTCTCCTTCCATTCCCCCTATATATATATATATATATATATATATATATATATATATATATAGAGCTAGGGTTTGCTGGAACAATACTCTAAAAACTGTTAAAATGTCACCATTAATTAATCCATTGTTGGCTTCTTAATATATACACTACACATTTACCTGTCTATCATATTTATTTATTTACTTCCGAAATTTTTATGTGTACATTAATTTGGTTTTGTGAGACATGAGAAAAGGAAGACTCTGACACGATTTTATTTTTTATATAAATAAATATGGAGATTTAATTAATGCATTAGAATCCGAGCTAGCTAGTGATGGGTAGAGTAATTGTGAGCTGATTGATTTTTTGAAAAGATAACTCGTTTTTCTCTAGACTAACCCCCCTACCAATACAATTAGTATATCTGACTTTTACTAATTAACCCATTATATATATAAATTGTTTTCAATTTTACTCGACCCATGTATTTGTTTTCAAGGCATGTCATTTACTGATAGATGCCCTAATTCATTATTTGCTTATAAAACGAAAGGGCCTGCTGTTATGCATTTCAACATATTGTTGATTATGGAGCTAGCTAGGAAGTACTATGTTTTAAGCCTCAAGCGATATTATTAGATATTTTCATATAATATATTCTCTGACGACCAAATAGTTAATTACCTCCTCTAATATTAGTCGATCTGGCCATTTTCAGACAAAACTAGGAGGAGAGATCTAGAGCACGACGAATACATTGGTTTTTCTTTTTCAGGTAGATTTTGAAGTTGGAGGGTAATATTTTCCATTAGCTATTAAATTTCTGTTTTAGTTTTCTATTTTTTTATTTTTTTTTGTTATTAAGACTAGTTCTGTCTTTTACTACATTTAATTAGAGTGGAATTAAAATATAACTTTCTTTTTTGAAAGAAAATAAATAGAGGAAATTTTATGTCTTACCTTGCAAGTCTTCCAATTTCTTTTTGGTCTCATAGACCCTTTTTGTGCAACTCCAATCCTATTAGTTAAGAAGATCTCGTGTCCAGCCGTTGTAGGAAGTGAGTCGGTGCCAATTGACCCCACTCGAATCTCTTTGTCGACGGTCGTTATTTGTCGTTATTTGTCAACGGTCGTTATGTACAGTTTGTCACACATGATTAACCTAGTATGATTTAGGTCTCTCGAATGATTTGCAAACTATTATACAAGAGTGAAGGTTGTAGATTCCTTCGAATACGAATCCTAAAAAAAATATCACAAAATATAATTGGCCAAGATAGAAAAGACAATCGAATTTATATAAATCCTAACAAGTTTATGAATCATTATTGCATATCTAACCACATCAAATTGAAAGAGAAATATAATTATAATTTGTACGATATATATAATGAAAGACTAGGTTTAGCAAATATCAATACGTGAATTAATAAAAAGTAATAGATTAATTAATTACCAGAAGATATATATCTGCAGGAAAGGATCTGAATTGTTCAAGTAGCTTAGATGACGTAATTGCCGCTTAAAAGAAGATGCGGTGTTTGTAGTTTGTGTTGAGAAATCGACATTCTCTCGGCGGAATTGAAAGGTGTATCCTTAGGTTTCATCATCATCTCCTTAATCTGGCTCTGATATTCACGAATACGCTTTTGTCGTTTTTTTAAATCCGGGCTTCTTTCTTCCATGCTCGTCTGTCCTATCAATTCTTATTTCTTTGACATCATCATCGTTATCGTTATTGTTATGAATGGGGGCGGCGGCCTCAAGTATGGATTTCTTCATATCAGATCTTCGACCGCACCAGTAGGTTTGTTTCAGTATTCCCCGAAACCTCAGATAGGAGAGAGCACCACCCAGAACCTTCCCGATAATAGGTACATAGGAGAGAGCACCACCCAGAACCTTCCCGATAATAGGTACATCCATGCTCCTCTAGATCTCTCTCTCTCTCTCTCTCTCTCTCTCTCTCTCTCTCTCTAAACTATGGGACAAACAAAGCTTCGAACCCTAGTTATATATATGTATTTATTTAATAAGGAAATATATCTAGAGTCCTTTTCCGATTGGAAGATAGCTATATATACGAGTTACGATAAACATACACATGTTTTAAAGTCAATTAATCAATTAAACTACTATTAACTATTAATTATAAAATTATCTACTAATTAGAATGTGAATTTTGTTTTTATCAAAATTAAAACAGTATTAGTAAAAAAATTAAACAATATTCTACATATAAGTTTTAATAATTGGGTTAATCACAAAAAGACCATGACAAGGGCACTTAATTAAAAGAGGGACATCCAACTTATTTACATATAATTTTTTTTTTTCCTTCAAAAATATTTTAATTAATATTATTGTCTTTGCTGCTAAATTACTGTCTCTAGCAGTTATTTAACTGTCGGAGACAGTAATTTAACTGTTAATTGACTTTTAAAAAAAAATATTTTAATTAATATTACTGTATTCGTTGCTAAATTACTGTCTCCAGCAGTTATTTAACTGTCGGAGACAGTAATTTAACTGTTAATTGACTTTTTTATTCTTAAGAAAAATATTTTAATTAATATTACTGTATTCGTTGCTAAATTACTGTCTCCAGCAGTTATTTAACCGTCGGAGACAGTAATTTAACTGTTAATTGATTTTTATTTTTTTTTGAAATTTTTTTTCTTAAAAAAAATTATTTTAATTAATATTACTTACTGCCTTGGCTGCTAAATTATTGTCTCCAACAGTAATTTAACTGTCTTAGACAATAATTATAATATTAATAATATTACTGTTCGGGAAAATAATATTCATAATATTACTGTCCTAAACAGTAATATTATTGTCTTCTGAGACAGTAATTTAGTAGCCAAGACAGTAATATTAATTAAAATATTTGTTTCTAAGAAAAAAAAATTCAAAATTCAAAAAAAAAAAAAAGTCAACGCCGGAGACCGGCGGTCAACGATGGTTGACCGGCCGGAAAAAAAAATTCAGGAAAAAAAAAGTCAACGCCGGAATTTGGCCGGAAAAAAAATTATTTTCTGAAAAAAATATATTTTGGGGTTAATGTGATATATTTGTTTAAATCTGGGGTCAATGTGTAATATTAAGGAAGTTAGAGCATAATGGATGGAATTGATAAGAATTATATTATGGAGGGTATTTTAGAATAAAAACATGGGGATAGGTTTAATTGAGAGACTGTTTTTTTTGTGTACCAATGTGCATTTAATTCCCATGTGATGGGCCTTTTTGTCATTCGCCCTTAATAATAACACCTATTTGTTTTATTCATCCTCTCATTATCTCGCAAATAAATCACTATCTATGTATATCTACGAAAAATAATACATATTTAATCGGCGAGTGAATTACATTTACTATCCCTGTGAAATTCGCAATTGTACGATTCTCCTTTATCATAAAAAAAATTAGCAAATATCTCCCTATGCTTACTTTTAGAATGCACATTCGACCCATTAACTTTATTTTCGTCGATCAACTGTGAAAAGACCAAAAAACCTTGAACAGGTTTGTTATATTACACGTTGGAAATTTTTTTATTATATTTAATAAAATCTTAATTTTTATTTCTATTTTAAACAAATAAGATACAAAAAAAATTATTAAATATCCACCCATCCCACCCAAATCCACATTCTTCATCCACCATTTTGTTATGATTCGAGCTACTGAATCTAGAGAGAATTATTGAGTGATTGTATTATTCGTAGGGCAAAATACCCATTTGTTCTTCAATTATCCAAAATGAGAAAACTAACTTCTATTTATAGCTAACTAATTAACTAAACTCTAATAAGCTGCTAACAACTCGTCCACGTGGACGCTCACGATTCGCTCATCAAATCCCCTTTCTAACTCTTCCTCGTGATACAGAAACGCGTTTTTATAAGTGAGTAACGCGTTTCTTCTCTTTTCTCTTATCAAAACGGCGCCGTTCTTTTCTAACGGTCATAACCGTACCGTTACACATTTCTGCCCCTCAGCCGCTCTTGCTCCGCCACCACTGCCCGCACTTTGTTCACCTTCGACGAAGCGCGATTTTTTCCTCACCTCCGACACATGTCCTTCCATCCGACACTTCCAACGCCGCAACACCACCTTCTGCAAATCCGCCGCCCACAACCACCCCAACTCAACCGCCAACAAACACAAACATTACTCAACCCCTCTCTCTCCTCGACCTTCCTAAGTTAATCCTTGCAATTCTTCAGGTGTAGAAATTTTGGAGAGAAGAAGAGAAGACGAGGAAAGAAATTAGGGCATAGGTTTAGGATTTTAATTAAGTTCTGGAAAATTGCAATTTAACCCCTGCATTTGTTTTAAAAATTCAATTTAGTTCCTTACCTTTAAAAATTGTATGTTTAAGGGCTGGGTTTTTTATTGCAAATAACCACGGGGTAGTTTTGTTCTTTCATAAAAAAAAGGGAAGAAAAAATCGCAAACGCGGCGAGTGAGCCGCACGATCAGCTCCAAGGGAGGTTTTCGCCTTTGACTAATAAGTATAGGGGGTATTTTCTATTTTTTTTTTGACAGGGGGAAACGTGCAGTTGCGAATTTCACAGGGGTAGTAAATGCAATTCACTCTTTAATCAGCATATAAAATATTTTCCTACATTAAACATGAGTTTATTATATTATTTTAGAGTTATTAGCACAGACCCCTGTGTAATCTCTAATTGTTGAAAAAATCCCTACATTAAAAAAATTAGCAATTACCTCCCTATATTACGTTTTACACTCCTTACATTAAAATTGATGGTTGACTTAAATGAAATGACAAGATTACCCCTAATATTTTTTTAAAAATATTTCAGTTTAAATAAACAAAGTGAATTTTTAACTAATCAACTGAAACCCTTTGTTGGTCGAAAACATACACGCAAGTGCACGTATCGTACAAGTAATATAGTGGACTAAAAGTCCGGATATCGAACCCACAGGGAATATTTAATTATCTAATCCTAGACGCTAAATTCTACCAATTATTATCAAGCCCACCCTACACAGTCGACTTTAGAGAGAATTAACTAAAATAAATTAAAAAACAAATTAAAACGACAAAGCAAGAAAGCAAATTAAACACGAAGATTTATCAGAGTAAACGAGCCTAGGATTTTATTCTTCCCCCTATGTGATTATTACTCCCCCAATTCCTTCAATTATGCAAGCAATTAACCCGGATTATTAACCTGAGATGCTAAAATAATCATAACCCGCTTCCGCGTGTATTACGATTCTAATACTCTAGATTCAATTACTATATTCCTATGCAATTAATTCTAGAACACAGCATTAAGCACAAATCTCAATAATGGCTACCTAAGAGATTAACTATATTCCTATGTTAATACCACAAAGGCTCTCCTACCACAGTTCTAATTATTAACCCGATCTTCCGATTCATGCGATTAACAATAACATAAAAGTATGAACTTAATAAAACAAGTAGAAGAAATAATCCGGAATTAAAACTTGCATAAAATCATAGAATTGGGTTCATAAATCCCACATAGGGTTCCAAATAAAATCCTAGAAATAAGTAATTTAGCTACTCATGATTAAAGCAAAAACGCAAATCAAATAAATCATAGACGATAAATCTTTGCTTGGAGTCTTCGAATTCTTCGTCTTCGTTATTGCTTTGTTGCTCTTGAAATTGCGTAAAAAGGTCCCTAATTGTGTGCTTGGATTGGTCTTATATAGGGTGAAGAACTTGGGGAAGAAGGCAGTTTCCTTGTGCAATTAAAATCCCTTTACTGCGCAATTTCGGAGTCTCGGACGGGGGTCCCATGATTTGCACTAAAACAGGGACGGGGGTCCGAGCCTTGTTTCTTCAGAATTTTGATATTTTCACTTTTGACCCATATTTTCGCCAAAATTGCAGTTTTGACCCCATACTTTTCCAATTCTTCAATTTGTACCTAAAATACAATAAATCAACTTTTTAAGCACCAATTATCATTAAAACACACCAAAAGCCCAAATAAAAAGGTACGATAAAGTGTAAAAATATACACTTAACACACCCCCAAACTTGAACTTTTGCTTGTCCTCAAGCAAATAACTCAACTATTACATCTCATCACATAGATCAATGATCAACTTCACGTTTTCAGAACTTGTAATTATAATGACAATTCTTAGGCATTCGCAAGCTCAAAATTCAACAACACTTAGTCACTCACCATTACCAAAAACCACAATTCATACAATTGCTTCAAGCATCCAATATTTGCAAATTAAAGATAGAAAGAATTTATACTTACATGCATATGCTTGACTCCAAATACTCACCAAATTATTCTACTATACTAATATCGAACATTAAGCTATTGGGATCATTGGGGCTTTGTGGCTTTCAATTGTTAGGCTCTTTGGTTTGAGGTAGGAAATATGGGTATGTGTGGCTATTCTTCTTGAATTTAGGTGATTACGCCAAAATTTGAAAGATAGGCGTTTGAAACAATGAATTCACCTCTACGGACTTTAATAAACTCGATTCTCAAAAGTTCAAAAGTCTCCACTTTTGCTTTTGAGGCAATGGATCGAGTTTTCAAAAATAATTCAACAACTAGTCCTTATTTCTCCCTTCTAGTCTCTTCTTCTTCTCTTTTTCTCTTTCTTTTTTTTTTTTTTTTTTTTTATATATATAGAAGCATAGATATTTGTCTTCTTTTTATTTCTTTTTTTCTTTTCTTTTTTTTTTTTTCTTTTTTTTTTTCGAAGAAGAAGAAGGACCTTATAAAAATTTTCGACCGAACTCCAAGGGGTAATTTTTTTCAAGAGTCTCCACTTTTCTACCTTATACACATGGCTAAAAGAAAGAACACCTTTTCTCCGAGGCTCAAATCAAGGTTCTAAGGAATTTCGATAAAAAGGTCGGCTTGAAAGGCTCAAACGGTTCAAAGAAGGCCCAAATCATATCCCAAATCACTTACTACTCAATACTTCGTATCATAAATTTCCTAAGGTGAGTCTTAAAACCGAACATAGCATGATCTAGCACAAATTAATTCCAAATTTAAAATACAAAACATTCAACAAAAGCAATGCACAAAATGTGATTCCTAGCAATAATTCGCTTCTAAGTCCCGTTGTCCCGTTGAATCGAAAGCTAAACAAACATCAAATCTTTATCACACAAAACAAACAATCTCATCATCAAACATTGATCATCCCCCATCATCATAAATCATAGATGCATTCGATTCAAGCAATTTTTTTTATTTTTTTTTATATTCCGGAAAAACGAGAAAAACAATAAAAACGAATAAAACCTAATGCATGCAAACTAAAACAAATAAGCACAAAAACATGTTTTTCACCCCCAAACTTAAAATTTTCGTTGCCCTCAACGAAATTAGCACAAAGTTTTAAGGATAGAAAACACCTGATTTATTCGGAGTCGGTGTGATCGGGGTGCTCCTCCCTCGCTCTCTCACGCTCGTCCTCATTGGAAAGCTCGGGTACGGTGACACTTTTCTTTCCCTTTCCCTTCCCTTTGGAAGATGATGCTTAGCTCGTGTGGCCTCGTTTATTGGATGACGTAGTTGGGAGAGAGGTTGGAATAGATTCGGTGCGAATTGGTTGACAATCGAACTCAAAATTTGGTTGGAGCAAATTGTCGAAAACCTTGTGGGCCTGCCTTGAAAGAGTAGATTTTGGAGAATTTGGTTCGATTCTCTAGCCTCGATTTGTGTGTGGGAGTTTGAGAGAAGGAAAGAGGAGGGTTTAGGAAATAATGGGGAAAATAATCTAATTTTTTAAAGTTAAAACGCCCTAAAAATCGTCGGACGGCCGTCCCGGTTTTTGTGCTGATTTTCGGACGGCCGTCCGAATTTTTTTTTTCTTCCTGGTTGTGGGACGGCCGTCCCACAAAATAGGCATATTTTGGGACGGCCGTCTCAAATGTAGTGCTGCAAATTTTTTTTTTTTTTTTTTTTTTTTTTTTTTTTTTTTTTTTTTTTTCCGACGGTCGTCTGGACTCCCCGATCATGTTTTCGACCCTGAAAAGTTAAAATTCAAATAAATAAATTAGAATGCATGCTGATGATATCAAAAACGAAACGAAAAATTAAAGAAAACTACGAAAAACAATAAAGCTCGGGTTGCCTCCCAAGAAGCGCTAAGTTTTAAGTCTTCAGCCAGACTTTGCTTGTTGAAATTTTTATGTCCAATCCAAAGCCTTGTAGATTGTGCATCCATCCATGAGCTTTTTCACTTCAATTGCAACCGATACAAGGATAGGATTGCAATATGTCAGGGTCCACCTTAGCTTGTAGTCTTTCTTAGTTGTAATCAATCGGCACGAAGCCAAGATGGGATCTTCATCACCCGCTCCCTCAAATCGGTACACAAAAACCTCACGTCCGCGTATAACCTCCACTTCAAACACATTTGTCTTCTCATCGACCTCTATTGATGCCTTCAAAGCCACGTCAGGAATAACAATAAGATCATCAATTTGAATATTTGCACTAACCACATCCATCCCCTTCTTCTCTTGTTCCGAGACATCTTTGGAGTTGAGCTCGATTGCATTCTCATATTCATCCTCCTTAAGCGTCTTCGTAAGTTCCTTTTCCTTCTCATCGACAATATTTTCTAGGTCTAAAGGATTTTTCTCACTACAAGTTTCAGACGGATTTTCATTGTTGCAACCATTCTCGATATTGTCTGAAATATTTTCAAGAGACCTTTGGCGCTTGAATTCTTCCAACTGTAACTCCAGTCTCCGGATAGATGCTTGAGTGGATTTCATAAATTCTTCAAGGACGGAGTTCAAGTAACACTCCTGAACAGTGGGTTCTCGTGGCGTGTTGGTGTACGTGTTCCAATAACCGCCGTTGGTGTTATCTATGAAATTATTCGCTTTCGGTGCATACCAACATTGGTTAGTGTAATGATCTCCACCACATCTTGAACAAAGTAACGGCATATTATAGGTATTTTGGAGGTATTCGTCAGACGGAAGCCATTCATATCCCGTTTGAGTTTCGCGAAAATTGTAACCTGACATGTAACCAAAGAAAAGAGAAAAAAAAATATTAAAAAAAAAATTAATTTGGGTGAATCGTGAAAATTGTTCAAATTTAGAGCTAGAATAAAATAAATAATTAAAATATTCCCCGGCAACGGCGCCAAAAACTTGTTGGTCGAAAACCTACACGCAAGTGCACGTATCGTACAAGTAATATAGTGGACTAAAAGTCCGGATATCGAACCCACAGGGAATATTTAATTATCTAATCCTAGACGCTAAATTCTACCAATTATTATCAAGCCCACCCTACACAGTCGACTTTAGAGAGAATTAACTAAAATAAATTAAAAAACAAATTAAAACGACAAAGCAAGAAAGCAAATTAAACACGAAGATTTATCAGAGTAAACGAGCCTAGAATTTTATTCTCCCCCCTATGTGATTATTACTCCCCCAATTCCTTCAATTATGCAAGCAATTAACCCGGATTATTAACCTGAGATGCTAAAATAATCATAACCCGCTTCCGCGTGTATTACGATTCTAATACTCTAGATTCAATTACTATATTCCTATGCAATTAATTCTAGAACACAGCATTAAGCACAAATCTCAATAATGGTTACTTAAGAGATTAACTATATTCCTATGTTAATACCACAAAGGCTCTTCTACCACAGTTCTAATTATTAACCCGATCTTCCGATTCATGCGATTAACAATAACATAAAAGTATGAACTTAATAAAACAAGTAGAAGAAATAATCCGGAATTAAAACTTGCATAAAATCATAGAATTGGGTTCATAAAATCCCACATAGGGTTCCAAATAAAATCCTAGAAATAAGTAATTTAGCTACTCATGATTAAAGCAAAAACGGAAATCAAATAAATCATAGACGATAAATCTTTGCTTGGAGTCTTCGAATTCTTCGTCTTCGTTATTGCTTTGTTGCTCTTGAAATTGCGTAAAAAGGTCCCTAATTGTGTGCTTGGATTGGTCTTATATAGGGTGAAGAACTTGGGGAAGAAGGCAGTTTCCTTGTGCAATTAAAATCCCTTTACTGCGCAATTTCGGAGTCTCGGACGGGGGTCCCATGATTTGCACTAAAACTGGGACGGGTCCGAGCCTTGTTTCTTCTGAATTTTGATATTTTCACTTTTGACCCATATTTTCGCCAAAATTGCATTTTTGACCCCATACTTTTCCAATTCTTCAATTTGTACCTAAAATACAATAAATCAACTTTTTAAGCACCAATTATCATTAAAACACACCAAAAGCCCAAATAAAAAGGTACGATAAAGTGTAAAAATATACACTTAACACCCTTCAAGTGCAGCTGATTATTAACTAATCTAGATGTGATCGATGTGATTATTGATGATTGGATCTAGGTAGTTACAAGGGAGAAACGTACCATCCACGTTGATTCAATCCAATGTGCTATTTACAGAAGGGAGTGTGTTGAAGATTGTGAGTTAGTTAGTACACATACATACATACATACACACACCAAAATCACACATTAGATAAATAAGAGATCGAAAAGAGAGAGACTAGCTAGTAGGGAGCTTGATTTTATCTCCCAATTTTAGGTGTTTTATGTGCATGATCATAATATATATATATAGCTTGATTGAAGAATGTTTACTGTTTGAGGTGGATTGTTTGGTCAAATCTTCGATTGAATTTGGTAAATTATACAACATAAACAAACAAATTAAATAAATACTAGTTCATGTATAATTAACAACTTAATCACTATTATTTTGTTCTTGGAGCGGGAGTTTTAGCAGCAAAACTCATCATCATATATATTAGAAAGCTTGAAATTACAATTATCACTTTCCGGACCCAAATGTCCATGGATCAAAATGTTGAAGATGTCGGAATTCGTCGGAATTAAAAACGCACTCGGGCAAAGGAACAGCATAACGTTTGAAGTCATAACAGTAGGAATAAGTGATCCACTTCCTCCTGAAAATATGCAACTCGGCTGTTTCTTCCCGGGTCAAATCATCCAAATTCGAATTATTGCACCCACTTATAGTTATGGTTTGGGTGTCATGGTTAAATGGGCAACCACTTAGCACGAAACCAGAATACTTAGCGACAAAAGGGCCATAAGTGAGATCCAATTTGTGACGCCCCCCACCGGTGGCCCAATTAGAACCGTTCCAAATAGTACCATACAAACTCATCTCCTTTGATGGAAAATCACCACCCATGGAATCAACCCTCTTAACATGCCTAATTGGGACATGATCAACATAGTATGTTATTCTATTTTGAGTCCACAAAATCCCATAATTATGGAAATCCTCAGACGGATCGAACCACAAATCGTATCTCTCTTCCCTTCCCCTGTTTGTACTACCATTTCCGTAGAAATTTGTTTGAAGCAACCACTTCTGGCCATGAATGTGACCCAAGAACTCGAAATCGATTTCGTCACGGTGGAATGGATATTTTTGACTGTTGCATGCGTAGAAGGTGACAACGACGCCTGCTGTGTAGTTTTCAGGCAACTTTAAGGATGTTTGGAAGTAACCATTCGAGTACATTAGCTTTGAATGGAAGCCAGAACTTGTTCTTTCATCCATGGATATTTGAACCGAATTGTTGTCGTCGTAGGGGATGACGTTGTCTTCTCCGTACAGTGGGTTGAAACCTTGGTCGAAAGAAACCATTGATAATGATGGATTCTGACCACCACATGTTGAATGGAACAACACACTAGTACTGCAAACAAGAAGCATACACAAAATAAGCCGACGACTCATAATTATTTATTTTTAATTCCTTATATTAATTCTGGAACAAATCTAATGCGGTATTTATAATCGTTAAGAGGGAGAGAGAAGGGATATTATTATTATGATAGAAAAGAAACAATGGGGTGGATACAGGCTTTTCTTTCCAAACAGAGAATCTTATTAAAAGAAAAGAAGGCAAATATAAAGGACTAATTATGGGCAAATAGATTCTTTTCCATGGTTACAAACACAAGATCAGCCCCGGAGCTTACTTTATATATTTTGTTACTGACTTTTTGTATAATAGGGTAAAAGCATTTATTAGTCACTAGATTAGATTGGGATTGAACCCAATTTAATTGGCAAACAAAATTAAAACCCTTTTCAAAATCTTCTTGAATCATACATATACCCTCCTGGCTATGGCTAAACACTCAAAACTAATTAATTGCTTTTACAGTCGTCTCTATCTCTTTCTCTCTCTACTTTTTTTTTCTCTCTTTTATAAAATCTGTTTCATTTATAGCAACCTAATCTTCATGTATTTTGTTCTCAATCAATTTTTCTCTCCACTATGATTTAATATTTATTTTGGTTCACAATGTAAGTTATGATTCTATATACTACCTTTGTCTGCTATTATTCTCCAGAAATGACCTAATAATGATGCATGGTTTCACATTGCATAAAGCATGCAAATAAAGAGCCATCTCAACAAACACGAAAGAAAAAAAAAACTTGAATTTTGTGCTTATAAATTGCTCTTTGAGAACCGTCAGCATAAATTAGACGCAAAACAAAGGAGCCGAACTGCACAAGACGACTAGCAAGATAAAAAAAGGAAGATATCATTAAATAATGTGCGAGAAGGCCTGCATGTCTGTTTCTATTAGAACAAGAAAGAAAGGAGAAAGCAGAAACTAGTTGTACAACACTTATCAACAACTGAGACATGGGCCTTGTTGATCACTTAGCTCCGTCCCCAATAACATGGGCATCAGCAGCTTTATCTTGAATGGTATTATTCGTGGTATTGTTGTTATTAATGCCATTGTTGGGCCTGGTGATGGTCATTTGGGAATGGGGATCTTGCAGTTGATGATGATGTGGATTATTCAAGGGGGAGAATATACCCCCCGCCATGGCTGCTCCTCCCTGAGGCTGCTGCTGCGGCTGCATGTAATACCCTCCTCCTTGTTGCATTCCAGGATGTTGACTACTCATCTGCACCCATTTCTCAATCTATCAGCTTTTTTGTATTTTCATTATTATTATCAATCAACCATAAACTCCTATTACATCGATCACTATACCTGACTTGGCATTGTTGGTGTTTGTGGTTGTGCATCAGCTATTGCAGCCAAGTACATCAGATTCTTTTGAAGTTGAGCCTGGTACCTGTTTTTCACCAATTCTATATCATTTCACACCCAAAACAAACCAAAACTATATATATATATATATATATATATATATATATATATATATATATATATATAGAGAGAGAGAGAGAGAGAGAGAGAGAGAGAGAGAGAGAGAGTTACTGAGCACATTCAGCAAGTTTGCCAAGATTTTGATTATCCAAAATTGCCAATATTAATTTTTTGTTCTCATCCAGGTACTGCATCATAAGTTCAAAAAACATGTTCAGCTATCAGAATGTGAGCTTTAACGTACATCTAGTTATACGAATGCCAGAAATGTATAGACAGTCACTCTCTTTTCCGAGAGGTATAAACAGTACTAATTATTACAACACACTAAGAAAAGCATATTTGTGGCCAAATGCTGCTATCTGTGATCCTTTAGAACAACTAGCATCATAAAAATTTCCACTGTTCCGTATTATGGTGAATTAATGGTGAATAAAGGGCACACAAAATTCAAAAGTATCCTAATCCTATCGTGCATCCGACAAATACAATCGGAACATCTGATATCTGATCATTTTAGTCGACAAATCAATGTTAACTACTCAGATTCTTGATATACTGCCTCTTTTTTTTTTAAAGAAAATTCCTTATTCTAATCACTGAAAGAAGTTGTCAAGAGAAGTATCTAATTTTCAAATTTAAGAATATTTATTAGCAGTGAAACAAAAAGGGCTTCTGAAATCTCACTCATTGAAAACGTATTTACAACAAATTAATGATACGGGGATTAACTACAGCTGATCCCATGTTAATGGGAGTCCTCAGAAGCGACTCCATGCAACTATTCCAATCTTTGTTGCTATTTAAAACTCAAGTTAATCAATATTAAAATCAAAAAAAAACTTTCAATAAAGACATTATTATGCACAAATAAAACATTTATTATAAATATTTCTCCAAGTAATTTCACATTTATTACAAAATCCATTCTAAATGTCATTACACTGTCAACCAATTTGTAAGGAGTTAGATGTAAGATCATATAAAGATGCACAAGTATCATTAAAACATACATCTTACAGAGATAGACAACATCAATCAGGTGAGAGCAAAGCACAATTAGACAAGGTTTTCATTGAGAATTACAGAGATATAGAACAAATAAAAACAAAATAAATCACAATGCAACATATATCGGCAGGTACAACTATATAAGTAGGTATACCATCCACTTATAGTTAATTAGTGATGTGTCAAGAAGTAAGTAGTGATGCAATAGCATACAAAAGACCGTTTTGATTCTTCAATAATTGAATATTCACACAAATTCCGCAGCCAATACATATCAAATCTACATCTCCGTGATTAGCAGTTCCACTGATACTCAACGAAAAATATATCTCATAGGCAACTAAAATGAGGTATTTCAATCTACTTCTACTAGCAATGAGTAACCAGTTGTTGAAGTTCCATAAGCAACCCCACGTATTTGCATGCAGTTGCAGCTACAATTTGTATTGTCTGATAAGATTAGCACACGGCTATATATGTCAAATCAGTATATGAAACAGAATAAGCCCTTCAAAAGGGCCAAAGAATTTGGTTTGATTATATGTTGAATGACCATCTTAACTAAAAGCTTAAGTTTTTAGTGATGTGAATCATTTAATATTTATATCTCCAACATGCAGTACCAGATAATCAAAACTCTCAATTAATTTCCATCATAATATGGGAAAAACAATTAAAATCTTGAATCACACTGAACAAAATTCAATCTTTTTTTTTTCTTTCTAACAGATAACAGCCAACGATAACGTCCTCAAATTGAAATAGTGAAAGTTTGCAAACTTGATAGAGCGAGCCATAAGAAAATGAAAAAGAGAAATCGAAAAATACCTTCTGAATCTGCTCGGTAGTGATGTTAGTAGGGGGGAATGAGGGGATGACTGGAAACATTGGACCAGGTTGCTGCATCTTTATTACTTTTCCTGTTTAGTTAAAAAATACAAGAACGAAGCTTTATTTATTATGCTGAAACCAACAAGAGCAATGACGTTTCCCAAATGAAAACAGGAAAACCCTAAGCCAATATGATCACAACAACCCCCCCAAAAAAAAAGAATCTTTACACCATTTACAAAAATATAAAACTGGCTTCGTGAATTAAAATAAACAGGGAGAAAATGAATCGACGAGTTACCTCGGATAAGAAGCGGGTTGGCGACTGGGAGGGAGGGAGGGAATTGCTGAAATAGGGACTGATGATTTCTTTAATAGAAATAGAATACTTGGAAATGATGAAGTTAAAATTACTGAACGAGGGATCTAATTTTAACTGGATCCAAAGAAAAAAAGAGAGAGAGATATAGAGAGAGAGAGAGACTCGCTTCAATTGGAATTTGGATGTATGCGGCACAGCAGCAGGGCAGGGTTAAACTGTAAAATTGTAAATGTGGAATTTAGGAATTATTTTGTGATTAGAGTAATATAAAATATTATGAATTAATAATTCAAAGAGTAGAGAGAGAGAGAGAGTAAATGCAGTTCGAAATGCGGATCTTTTCTGTGTCGGGTGTTGTTAGACTTTAGAGTCACGTGACCATATCTTCTTTAATTTCTTCCAAGCACTAATTAATTAATTTTTACTCCATTAATTATTATTTTAGCTTAAATTAAAAAACAATAGTAGGTGTTAAATTTCAAATTTATAAAATAACACATAATTAAAGACAAGTTGATGCAATCAGTACAAGTTCTTAGGAGGGAAGACCAGAGCCCAGAAGCCCAATACTGCATTTGGGTTTCATTTCATGAAACCCCACCCCACATCCACTTATTTATTTAAAAATCCTTTTTCTTGCACCAAAAAAAAAAAATTCGTCCTATATAAAGTAAAGAAAAATCCTTTTTCTTTACTTTATATATAAATAATAATAATAATAATTCGTCCTATCTATATATAATATACTACGTTGTTGTTTACACTTGTCCTGCACTCACCTCTTCCTCTCCACCTCTCTCTTATTCAGTTGCCACGATTCCTACCGTTTCCCTAGCTAATTCCTTTTCATTTCTTCCTTTTTTTATTTATTTATTAAGTATATCTTCAATGGCGGAAGAAGCGACTCAGCACCACCAGCAGCCATCATCTGCCGCCAAAATGACCGAGCACGAGATGAATGGAGGATACGGCAGGCGCCGTCAATCAGTGTGCAAATTCATCGTCATCTTCCTAGTGTTGGCAGGAATCACGGCGCTGATAGTCTGGTTAATTTATAGGCCACAGAAGCCAAAGTTCAGCCGCCGTTTATGAGCTGAACACCACCACCACCACCACCACCACCGCCTCTCCTTTTATATCGACAACCATGCAATTCACTGTGGTGACCAGAAACCCCAACAAGAGAGTATCCATTTCGTACGAACAACTGAGTGCGTTTGTTTCGTACAAGAACGAGGCCATCACTCCTCCGGTGATCCTGCCCCCTTTGTTTCACCAGACAAAGAGCACCGTGTCTATGTCCCCTGTGCTTGGAGGAATAACGGTCCCGGTGCCGGCGGAGGTAGTTAACTCTCTGTTGATGGACCAGACTTACGGGGTGGTGGGTCTGAGGCTGGTAATCACTGGTAAGCTGAGATACAAAACTAGTGTAATTAAGCGGCGGCGGCGTTATGGAATAAATGTCAGGTGCGATTTGTTGGTGGGTTTGAAGCAAGGTTTTGTCGGACAACTGCCCCTGCTTGGATCTCCCCCCTGCACCGTTGATGTTTGAGTTTGACCTATTTTCAATTCTCGATCTCAGCTGCTTTTCTTTTTCTTTTCTTCTTCTTTTATTTACACCTACTTAGGTTTGTAATAATTATTTATAATCGCTAGCTGCCTAAATTAATTAATTATAAGATGCATGCGTTGTATATTTTATGTAAGACATGTATATTTATATATTATATTACAGAAACTCGGCATGATTTTCCTGAGTTGGTACTATAATAAATCATAAAATGAGATGATGATGATGATCCTTTTGCAATTAGAGATATTGGTTGGGCTTGGGCAACAAGTAGTGGTAGTGGGGGAATTGATTCTCTCCTACATGCATCTGTAACTAAAGTAGCTGATGGAGTATTAAGCTTGAAGCTGTGCTAGCTTTATAAAGTTGATATTCTATCTCCATCCAACATTTCCTTTCACAGTCACATATATCAAGTTATTGTAAAACGAAGAAAGCTTTGTACCTAATTATGCATATATACTCTTTTATCTTTTTTTTTTTTTTTAAATAGGCCAGTATCCCGTACGTGTAATAAATTGTAATGCTACGTACATAGTTTATTCGCCAACACTTTTATTTCATAACTCAGCTCTGACAGTGACATGAAAATTATACACCAGATATATAATTATCTATCAGTAGCTATGTAGTAGTAGATCAATAGTTAGGATCGGAATTCGTGTAACGATCGAATGTGACGGTAATGAATTAGGATACAGGAGTAGGCAGGTAAATAGAATTATCTGGTGACATTGATATCATTTGTAGCAGGCTTGAGTTGGAAAATGTTTCCTCTAATATTCCACTTCCATCAACAGTACTACTGCTACTAGATATATGCATCATCAGCTCCCTTGCAACATCGGCCATACCAAGTTTCCCATGTGGCCCGAACAGTAAGCACCTCGTTGCCAGGTCAGCAATGATTTCTATTTGCTCCCTCCTAAATGGTGTCTGCTCGTGATAGTACAGGCTCGGATCCACAATCTCTTCCAGTTTTCCCTTGTTTATTATCTTCTGCAAATTAAAAGCTGTCCTGCTAATTGGAAAATATTTGTCCTGCAGCTGTATGGTGCCGCCTGTGATGATTTCTACAAGGACTAAACCAAGGCTGTACACATCATTCTTGTTCAAGTGATGATCCTCCTCTGCACAATTAGAACAAGTTGTAATTTGTTCCTCCTGATCGATGATTTGATGATGCATCGTCATCATCCCAAAACCAGCAAGTTTGACAGTGAAATTAGTATCTAGGAAGATGCAACCAGTTTCAAGTGCATGGTGGAATATTGGAGGTGAAATCTCGTGTTGGAGGAAGGACAGAACGTTTGCAGTTTCAGCAGCAATTTTCAATCTCGTGCACCAGTCAAGCTTATAATTCTGATCATCTCTTGTCAAATGATCCTTAAAGGTGGTGGTGGTGGTGGTGGTGGTTCCATTCTCGTAAACAACATGAATGATGGGTACTGCATCGATGGACCATCCAATAATGCGTGCCATGTTTCTGTGGGAGACGCCAGATAACCTCTCCAATCTCGAGGATAAAGCATGAATCATCTGCTGACTACAACACTGATTTATAATAACCCTTTGTACGGCTACACGTGAATGTGATCCCCCTCCTCCTATAACAACAACTCCAGCATACATAATAGTACTGCCCTCATCAACTACTACTTCCCCAAACCCTTTGGTGGCTTCCTCAAGTTCATGGTATTTAAATAAACGATAAGATCTACAATCCGCTTTCTGTCTCAACACCCCACTTTCGCTATGCCCCTCACTGCACCCAAATTTATCTGACCTCATCTTACGTCTCCGTAACTTCAAAACACATAGTGCTGTCAATGAGACAACAATGAGACCTGAGGTTACTACCCCTGCATCACATCACAATATTATATATTCATCTTTTTCTTATCAATAAACACGTGTGTGTGCGTGAGTGATTTATGACAAAATTCACATCAATATTTAGCAGATTCCTCATCTCAAATATTGTAAGAATTTCATTTTCTCGTCCACAAGAAACATTAAAAAGAATAATCTGCTTGTGGCATGAAAATATATCCAACAAGTTTTCTCCAGTCAAATTAATACTCTTTTGATCATATCAAGAAAATGCACCATACCAGCTAAAATTATTTTCTTCTTTCGACCAAGGTTGTTCGCATAACAATCATCCCCTCCAAGTTCCTTTCCATCTTTGAAGCAGGCTTCAGAGAGAGAGAGAGAGAGAGGGACCGTTGTAAGAAATGAATAATTTAAAAAAAAAAAAAAAGTAATTAATAATAAAGAGTGATGACTGTACTGACATTTGAGGCATCCAAGTCCAGTAGAAAAACCATCGCCAAGAAATCCATTGGAGCATTGGCATCGGATCCCGGATGCAACAGAAGTGGCATTGAGAGGATGCGCATTGGCAGCACAAGTGGCCTCTGTTGAGTTTACGGGGACAGCCCATTCAAGCTTAATCCCACGCTTCCCGATTCTACTTCCACCCAAATTTACCCAACAAGAAAACCCTCTACATCCGAATAACTTTGAAAAATCGGAAAATGGGCGCCAGTCTGTCAGTGGGTAGCAGCAAGAAGGATATCGTTTCCGTCCATCACAACCTTCAAAACTTGTTTCTTCACATATTGAGTCTACTTTGCACAGCTCAGATTGATAAGATTCGTCACAATCGTTCAAATCAAGCATGTTTTCCCTGGAAATACCAAAGTACTGGTTCCCGGAGAAGGGGAAAGACCTCAAGTCATTGTACTGTCGACACATGGAGATGGAAGTATTATTATTATTTGTGTGCGGGAAATCTACTAATACACCGTCAGAGAAGAAATGGAGCACATTGTAGCTCTCAGAATCGATGTTGAGGAAAAGTGAAGAGGAGTTATCCACGCAGGAAAGGGAGAAAGCATCTGAAAGTGTACGGCAGCTATCATTCAGGTAAAAGGGGAACGGTATATTCTCAAAGCTCCCGCATTTACTAACTGCGCAATATTGACGATCATTTTGATTCTGACTCTGAGGAGTGCCTAAATGAACGAAGAATGAAATATAATAAATAAACAAATGGAGTAAGACCATGAACACGGACATGGCATCGATCAGCCTAGTGCTAAACTACCAGCAGCAGAATGTAGATGCCATGGAATATAAATTTTAACTAACTAATTAAGGAGATGGGACTTGGGAGTGAATGAACATTGGATAACAAATTAAGGTGTTGAAGTGAGAAAAAGGGAGAAAATTGGTCTGTTGAATGGGATGCAACAGTACATATGCTACTGTGCTATTTGCATGGGGATACGATTTTATAATATTATTATGTACAGATTAAACATATGTGCTTACTCACTGTTATCGAGATACGATCGATTTGATCATTTTTTAGCATAGGTGGTGGGGGATAAAACCGTAAACTTCATCATGCCAGAGATGATGATGCTCAAATTAGTCTTATCTTTCTCTATTATAATAATAATATGTACCAGTACCAATGAAGACCAAAACACGAAGATTAGATAAGTAAAAGTTGTGCAAAACGAACACTTATCACTGCCATAAGATTTGTTTTCAGACAAGTATACATTGACAGATAAATGACTTATGTCCATTTGCATGACCCCTAAAATAGTACACACGACTACACTGGAAAAAGTATCCTTATCTTTTACATCAATACAATATATAGCTGAGAACTAAAACATGAAGTGAAAAATGCATGCAATGCAAGGCAGCTTTAGATTGGATACAAACTGAACAATTTAGTAGAAGAAGCATGATCTTCCTGCTCATCCATGCGTAATCTCTTGGGACATTTCTCTTCATTATGACTGTTAGGTGCCATCCTACTTTCCTTTGCCTCCATTGCACATCTCTTGTATGGTTTAAATCCTGTTCGGCGAGGTGCTTTCAGCTTATTAGCTGCTGCTAGTCCAAGTCCCAAATCTAATAATCCCTCTTCCTTGTTTTCACCTATTAAACTCCCATTATTTTCCACCCCTTGTTTCTGCCAACAGCTCTCCCATGTCTTTGCATTCAGGTCTAACCGCACTCCACTTTCGTCTTTTTTCTGCTCATTTTCGGTATAATTTTTCTCCCCCTTATTCTTTACATCGTGTGGTGGTGAAAAACTCTGAGGCAATCTTTCTCTAGAAAAGAGTGCCCGAAATGCCAGTCGTCCCTGCATGTAAATTGGAAGGAAGGGTTACTTGCACAAGCGATACAAATGAAAAAGAAAGACTTATTATTTATTAAACAAATGGAGGGAGAATTTGCAAATACCCCTTCTGATACTTCTTTCCAAGAATCATTTATATTGATAATGCTTCTACAACGTCGATTAAATGGGTCACCAAGAGGATGATTTGCATCAACTTCTTCTGGCTCCTCTTCACCATTCATATGATTTTCCTCTGTTCCCTTTGCGTGCTTCTCCAAAGCATCTGTTTCTACGTCACTGCTCGAAGATGTGTTTGATCCACACGAAGAACGGTCCACCAGCTTCTGGTTCTTGGATTTGTTTACATCATTATCCAGCTCATCTGTTTCCGAAACTTTTGTTGTTTCGGCAGTAGCTAACCCCACATTCAGTTTTGCACTTTCACTTGCTTCAGAATCTGATGATGATAACATTGGTGACTTTGAAGCTGAATGCTGTTCATGCAAAGCCTTAGAGCAATCTGGTTCTAGTTGTTGACCTCCCAAGGCAGGATTAGGAGTGTTTTCTCTTTTTTCACTGTTTATAACTCTACCTTCGCTGCTTTCCATAGGAGTTGCAGATACCGATGCAGGGGAGCAGGTAAAACCAGGGAGAAACTGAGCAGGTAGAGGAAGAAGACCATGAGCTGTCCACCATGCAGTTGCAGCTGCTACTGTAGCTGCAGCAATTGATCCCATACTAGGAACTGAACTCAAAGGCCTGGATTGAAATGCCCCATCCGAAGATTCTATTGGAGCTTCCATGTTTACACATGGCCACAAACTCGCGGTAAAGCTAGCTGCAGCATAGGCTGCTAGATTTTGTGATAGGGCAGATACAATAAGACTTGAAAATGTAGACGACATGTGCAAATAATCATCTTGGTTTTGATTTGGAGTGAAGATTGGATGATAACTAGGAAACGACTGATGAACGGAAGATCCTGATGCATTACTATAATGTTCGGCTGGCTTCATGAATAGATTTTGATGACCATAAACTCCACCCATTTGATGAAAGGTAGAATCTGTACAGGAACCATCTGGGGAAATAGTTTGAGCACTTGCACCTGGGATCCCATCAACAATGTGCACATTGACATGGCGAGGATAGTTCTGTGAGGATAGAACATCAGCGATTGGCAGTGCATTTTCAGACTTCTTCAACTCTGCTATTCTTTTACTATGCACATATTTCTCATGTGAAAGGTACGAGTTCACGACATTCGAAATGTTAGATGGAGCCTTATCCTGAAAATATTTTTTGTCATCGCACTTCTCCGCCGCAAGTCCTTTGGTTTCAATAGTGACCTTAGATACAACAACTTCATCCTGATTACCTGCTTCTTTTGGGAGTGGAATATATTGCCTAAAAGTACATGATTTTCCAGGTGCATCAGACATTGACAACGAGGATTTGTTAGTTGAAGATGGGGATGCACAAGGAGCTGTTTTGAGAAGAGTGTAAGCCTCAGACCAATTATCCGTTTCGTGGTATTCATTACTGTTTTCTAGTTTCCCATCATCACAAGGCTCCTGACAGAAAATGGCATCAGAGCACAAAAATGTTCATTCAAGTGATCAAACAAAAGAAATTAAAATAATGACCCAAGTACTTTAGCTTGCAACCCAAAACAAAAATATCAAGAAGAATCAGGGAGCAGATCACTACTATAGCAGAAAAAAAATCATCGATTTTCATACACATGATAAAAGCAACAGGAATCATAAAACAATTAAAATAAAAAGGCTGGATGGCGAAAAGAGTGGCCCATACCTCAGATTCTTTCTCTATTGTAATTTTACTCGATAGTGGATTTGATATTTTGCCATCCTTCACTGTCACATGCGACGTAGGAGCTCCCACACTAGTCTTTCGAGGATACGGATTGCTGGGTTTCCTTTTAGGGCGTGGTGGAGGGATTTCAATATCAATAGCATGTCCTACTGGAACTCCTTTTACAGTGGCCTCCTTTTCCAACTGAATTATTGAAACAAGATTTTAGAGTCACAAGCATAACTACACGCCAAATAATCTCAAGGTACAAAGAAATCAACATATTGTATGGCAGAGATAATAATAACTGAGAAATTTTGTATGGTTATGCCTAAAATATGATGAGATTAACTGAGAAAAACACTATCCTGCATGTACTTTTTTACAGCCCACAAAAGTTCTAGTAGTCCAATTTAGTATACTAGAAGTTGTGCTTAGAACCAATTGTACTTTCCCCTCTTGGTGATCTAAAGTAGATGGATATTTACAACGACTTAACCAAGCAGATAAAGCTAGGCGAAACCAGCGCCTTATCCTCCATAATTGATTAATTGTGCAGTTTATGCTGATCAAGATCCCCAGTTTGCTATTCAGCCAAAGAATGGAATCCTAGTCACCCACCCACAAGGAAAAGAAAGGTCAAACAAAGAACTGATAAACTGAAAAAAAAAAGTTAAATAAATGTTGTTATGATGAAACATCCATCCTACTAGGCATAATGCAAAGAGATTGATCAAACAAGGTATAAATAACAAGTACTTCTGGTACAAAACCACTACAGTGCATATGTAAAGTAATTTTGAGATAAAATCCTACATATCGACAAGCAACTATGTATTTGACTTCAAATCGACCCATGACTTTTGCTGATTTTGTTGATGAAGCGAACATTTTCTAGCATTTGAAGAGTTAGTCTTTGAAACACTTCTTCTTTGTGTGTCATTATTAGTGGGGGCGGGTATAATCAGCAGAATACAAAACTAATTTTCTACATCAACCTGCCACAAGATGATATCAACCATGGCATCCATAGGATAAATATACTCTTTCCTAGACATTTTTAGACAACAGCGCTATCTGTTTCAAAATCCATTTTAGCAGCATTTTATATTTTTACAGTACGACGGTGGAGAGCGTATAACAATGGGAAATTATGCAGAATTCTACCCGTTTATGATGTCGAGAAATCATTTGTGAACATGTATATGTATACATGTATCTTCATCATCCTTCATCTTTACCACCGAGATAGTTTCATGGGAAAAAAAAGTTCCACAAGGTAAAATCACATTTAAACTGCTAATCGAGAGGATAAATAACTTACAGAAAGGGTGGAAAGGTGTGAAGAGACTTCTGGATTACACTGTGAATTTGAGAGGATGATATTGCCCGGTAAATTAAGTGTTTTCTTCATTTCAAAATTTGATTATAACTATTAAAAGCAAACAAAATTACGAGTAAAAGATATCTTATGGGTTTAAAGGAGGAAAGCTATGGATCTTCTTGTTAATCATTGGTAAAATATAGTTGAGGCATATAACTCCGAGCACCACAACACACCATTCTTAACCATTAAAGAAGGCTGACTACCTTCTAAGATAATCAGATTTAACGAAGTGAATCAGTAATTATCCAAACATTCCCTTCGCATACTAATCAGTAATAGCCTCCAAAGAGTAGCAAACTTTTAGAAGCACTGACGTATGGAAAGATATTGAACTACTAACTACCTCACCATTTATCAATTGCGTCATTTCCTTTCATGTGCTTCTGTTCCCTGTATGAATTTCATGCAGCTATGCAAATCTTTTTCACAAGTACAGATATATGATCAACATTTCAACACTAGCCAAGAAGATCTTCCATGTAATGATTACCCCCCACTAAAACCATTTTTGTCGGACATGGAGATACCTTTTTTCTCAGACCTCCACCACATTGGTATAATACCCCCACATATGTGAAATAATCTACAAAAGTAACTTCAGATAAGTGAAGGTAAGAGCTATGCCGCCTGACAAATATATTCATAATTTCAATTGTTTATCCTTGAACGCATGGAAAACGGTATAAGCAAATAACTGTAGGGCGGATAATATTACCTCACTCAGTCAGTACTAAAAGAAGGCCAATCATAAAATGATTTCCGTATTCTATCTCCATAAAGTTGAAACTAGTCAGTGTAATTAAAACCAACAATAATAACAGATATGGCAGTGGGATTTTTACCATATGGTGCTTGAAGAGCCAAAAGAATCGAGAAGGTATTTCCATCTTCTATCCACAAATTGCTTTGTTATATATATGCAAATGCCACTAACATAATTTTCAGGATGAGATCTAATACCTAGTAGAAGTGTTATATATTAATGAAAAGATATAAGAGAGCACATGCGATTGACCTTTGTAAAAAACTTCTGTGCATGACTTCTGATCTGCACAGCAGACTTGGTTCCTATATGTTCTGCAGCACCACCAGATACAAAACAATACGGAAATAAGGGACTATTCTATAATCAAAAGAATATATTAATCCAAGGAAGAGAATTGTTACAATGGAAATATCAGTAATACATCAGAAATCTTTAAAATATTACTAAGTCCTACAAAGTCTAGAGTAGATTTTTAGAAAAGGAAGCGTATAGGTAATCTGAAATAAAATGCAGTGTAAAGAAATAAGCAAAAGATTAGTGACCTTCTATACGCTGCCAGGCACGGCCATGCAACTTGAGTGCTTCTAGAAACCTGTTATGTTCTTCTTCAGTCCATCGCTCACGCTGCTTAGTGATTGTATAAGGCTTCCTTGTCTGGAAATGAAAAAGAAACGTCACTGCTCTTTACAGAAGAATTGGTAGACATAGAGAAGATGAGAATTTCATTGGAATCAATTGAATAGGTCAGTGAGACCTTAATAAGGAGGTCTTCTCCAGATGAATAATGGTCCATGTAAACAGAGGACAAGGGTGAGTTTCAAATACAGGGGACACTTTCACTCAATTCCATTGAACGAAAATGCCAAAAAATTGGCCTTGATGATTGGCGGCTATCAGATAAAGTAACACTAGTGCTGCAAAAGAGAGAAACATGTAAAACAAGTAATGGTAAAATGAGAAATGCCACAGAGAGAGAAAGAGGAGAGAGAGACGCATCTCTGAATCCGAAACAAGTACAAGTGCAAGTGCAAGTGGTAGTAGTAAAACAAGTATACATAATTGGTTATCCAGAATCCTCACCAAAAACGAACAGCATGTTGCCTTAACCTTTGCATCCAATATGAAAAACACATCCAAATAAAAAAAGTGGTTCAATCAGGATTCTTAAACAGACAGGGATTCTAAAATAAAGTATCAGAACAAGTTCCATCACCGATTAATTAAAAAATAAAAAATCTTAAAGAATGAATTACCTTGGAGGATAGGCATAGTGTGTCCATGAACTTTCCGATAAACTGTCGGATGTTTTATCAGATCATACATGAAATAGTGGATCGGAATCTGGACTAGTAATCCAATAATTGATGACAAAGCAATTAGCAGTTCACAAGTGAAGTCAATACATACATACACACATACAGTGAGATTAGTGGAAGGAAATGAAGAGGAGATGAAACACAGAGAGAGAGAGTAATGGGAATGGGAATGGGAATGGGAGAGAGAGGTAACAGTTGTGTTTTTTGTTTGTTTTTACATTTTTGCAGTGAGAAAAAATGAGAGCCACAAGTAAATACCTTGTGGATTTTGATTTTGAAAAAATCGGAAAAATGGGGTTTATACTTTATTATTTGAGGCTGACGAGCAGCCAACAATGGGACTGGATCAATATGGTGGTGCCATTTGGCAGAAATTTAGTGGCCCGTGATCCTGCGCCTGAAGTCTCGACTCACCTCTTGGTTTTGCACTTTATTTTCATTTTTATTTTTCCCTTTTTTATATAATATTAAATAATTAAAAAAGAGATGTTCGACTTCAAACTATTCCTCCACCACAAACTAGGCATTGAGGTGGGCCCCGCAAAAGCTTTTGCCTCGTCAGCCACCAAACTGAGCCCAGCCAAAGTAGAAACCACTTAATGGGCTCTATACATCCCCAAAGGGGGCCCCTTTTTTTTGGACAAAATGGCATTGGCATGCCCATTTATAAGAAACATTGTGATTGGGCCTCGATGTCAGTGGTTTTCATTATTGATGATGCTATAATTAGATCATTTCAGTAAGTTGAAGTAGGATGAGCTGGAAGAGCAAAGTGGATCACTAACTCACGAGCTTGATGACCTTGACATACCTGCGATCATAGAACACGTAAACTAACTCAAGTCAGACGTGCGGATTGTAGAAATAGTCCAGATAATACATGTTGCAGTATTGCTCAGATAATAGGACGTACCTTAATGAATGAGTTAAAACATTTATTTATACCTTAGTTGAGATTGTCGGACCCAAACCTTACTTGAAGGTGATTGAGCCTCAGTGTCAGTGGTCTTCAATATTTGGTTTGTGACTCATTAGATAAAGAAATTATAAGCACATTTTGTTTGCCCAACTAGGTATATCATTAGCCCAGGTATATGTCGATGTGGGGGCTATGTCGACATATACCTTAAAGTACAAAAATACCTCTCATTTTCATTTGCCGAAGAGCAAATTTTTAAAGAAAAGTAAATTTAAGAAACTGAAATGCTATTCATAGTGCAATTTTTACCGCCTTACAGTGTGATTTATTTCATTTGTAACTTTCCCAAAAAAAAAAAAAAATCGTGTATTTCGTGTATTGTTACACGAAATATAAGTGTTTATTGTTATAGAACACGAAGGACGAAACTGTTAGATTGAAAAAATTCGTGTATTTCGTGTATTAATACACGAAATTGTACATCATATTTCGTGGAGTTTTCCACGAAATAGTACATCATATTTCGTCGATTTTTCCACGAAATATAATGTAATATTTCGTGAAATTCAGTACGAAATCACTAATTGATTTGTTTTTTAATTAACCAATTTATTTCAGACATTCAAATTGACCTAAAAATTCAAATACAAATACAAATTGAACTATAAATCAAATACAACTACAAATTGATCTAAATTTCAAATACAAATACAAATTCAACTAGATTTTAGATACAACTACAAATTGATCTAAAATTCAAATACAAATACAAATTGAACTAGAATTCAAATACAACTACAAATTGAACTACCGACCAGACTTTAATTGTTCGTACAAGAGTAGTCGGGGTTTGTACATTTTGAGTAAGTGCCTCAAGTTTTTAGCTCTATGGTGTACCCATGTCGGATGGATTGGTGGTAGAGGACTATTCGCAACCAAATTAACAAACATGAAATGATTGTTGTGCAATGTCACAACAATCATACATGATAAGTGACCACTGCCAAACATAGGAAGGTAAGTCATACTCCCTACTTGAGTCAAAAGTACCACTAATGCACTGCATCTGGTAGCAATGGCCAATCCCATTTCATTCATGTCCATCCAATAAGCTTGTGGACAAGGCCCTGAGGTCCAGTCACACTTGCGTATGACCTCAACGTATCCGGTACTGCCAAACATCGTTGTGTACACATTAGCATGCTCGTATAACTCAATAAGAAACTCCCCTCTCACTTGCGGCCATCTTTCTTGATCCCCGTACACGGCTTGAGCAACACACCGGTACCCACAGTTGCCATCCGCCATCACGTTAACATAATCTTGAATAAGACGGACCATAAATCTGGGCACGAAAGAATAAAAGTCGATTCCTTCATGTGCAGGTATTGTAGGGGCAGCAGATTCTTCTGTGGGAATACGAGAACCACGACCTTTCATCTTCGATTGAGGCGTTCCATCAGTGTTTCTCTCAACCTTTGCTTTAGGAATCTTTGCACCAGATGAGGTTTGGCGACCCTTGGAACCACAAGACGACTTAATTGTCTCCTCATCAATATGATACTGCCATCCGGAAGGGTCTCTCTTTGTCGAGTTATTCTTTGGCCGTCCTTTGGTCTTAACAAATGATGGCTCGGACAGATGCGACGTAAAGGATAAACGATGCCACGAAATAAGGCCACGACATTTATCTTACTCGTGTAATTCATCTTCTTCAAATTGCAATTCAGGTCATCAATCTGTCGATCCACAATCTCCTCGCGGTTTACTTGATACTCAAGTAGCTCCGAAGGCTCAACTGCCATGGTACTCCAGAATGGATGCAAGTCTGAAATGACGAACGTGTCATTATCTTCCATTTTCTGCACAATTTTGCACGCGCATGGGAGCCCATGAGTATTCCAAAGATAGTGTGTGCAAATACTCGGATCTTGCATCGCCGGGGACTCCATCTCTTGATCCAATTTCTCTAATGCCAGATGCGTAACATAACAAATCAAACCCTGAAAACACGGCCATGCTGCAGTATGCTTCCTTATCTTGGATGATAATGAAAAATCGCACTTCAGCTGACTAATTTGGATATAAACTTGGTCCCAAATTTTGCCTTGCACGTTATCCAGACCTCCGGTCGAAGCATTTAACCAACCCTTCGCTGAAGAATGAGCACTCTCCACCCTATCCAATTACGACAACAATCAAAGCATACAACGACAATCAAATTACAAAAAAAATTATTTTTATATAATATATTTTATCATTTAAATAACTAAAACATGTAATACCTGTTGGTGCTCGTGTTGCCAAAATGATACACATTGCGAGTATATGCTCGAACAAACTTCTCCTTGTATATCAACCACGTATCATTCAAATACTGTATCAGTCTAGGATACCCTGCATACCGTCCAACAATTTCATTGTAATTGTAATTATACTCTTCTTCGGTTTCTGATTTCACCAGCTTAGCCCACAGCACACGTCGGAATATTAGACCTTGGTCTTTGTTGCCTCCCATAAATTTCGTCGCATTTGTCTCAACATTTCTGTTTATATGGAATATACACAACATATGATACGAAAATGGGAAGACATTTGACAGTGCTTTTAAAAGACCCAACTCCCTGTCTGTCAAGATTGCATCAGGTTCGACACCATCTAGCAACTCTTTCAAACAATTCAAAGTCCACTCGTAGGTGTCTACATCTTCATGCGATATAAATGCAACAACAATTGTAAAATTCCTCCCAACTGGAGTTATCCCAATTATTTCCAAAAGAGGCATAGCATACCTACAACAATGTTGTTTTTACATATTTAAACAATACAATACATTAAAACACAATAATCATAATTTAAACAATCGTAATTTTTACTTACTTATTGGTTTTGTATGTGCAGTCCATCAATATAACATACGGGAACAGCCGTAGTAACTTAATAGATTCGGGACATGCAAACATAATATCTGTAATCGTGTTGCTCGTTTCACTATCGACGTGATGCCAATATCGATATTCGCCTTGTTGAAAATTATGCATCATAAACTGAATAACAGTCATGCCCTCCATTTCCTCAGATTTAATCTTGGCCAACTCATTGTAAACATGCTTCATAGAGGTTTGTATCGTCGGATCATCTTTCTTTAATCTATCCATGATTAGCATTGGCTTCACGTGAGAATTTCGCAATTCTTTAATTCTTGCTTTCTGTTGTGGAGTTATACGACTAGTCGTACCTTGTCCGTGAGGAAACACAGCCGGACGATGAGTATGCCTGCCATCGCTGACAGTCAACCGCCATAATTCATCAAATCTTGACTTTTTGCCAATCAATTTGAACGGACAACCACATTTTCTTGTTCCAGTGTTTCTAGGATCTTCCACATCGATATTCGTTTGTCGGCCATGTCCGTATTTGTCACACGTCAAGTACTGTGCATTCTCCCTGACAAATCAAAACGTGACAATGACTAACTGCAGTTGCTTTGACCCAGTTGATTAATTCTTCCCTACTACCGAACACAATATCAACTTGGAAGAAGTGAGAGAAATCTTCATATTCATTTTGATCCAAAACCAAGCGATCAAAATACAAATTGTCTTCATATGGCTGCGTAAATACAAGAAAAAAGTTAGATACTTGCACAAAAAAAATAAAAAATAATACTAGGTATTTCGTGTAAAAGTACACGAAATTAATGTATACATTTCGTGTAGTACTGCACGAAATGAATAACAAAACAGTTTACTTCTGTTTCGTGTGACTTTACACGAAATAAGAGGTATAATTTCGTAGTATTTTACACGAAATGACTGGAAAACACGAATAAGGTGTTAATTTCGTGCAAAACACCACGAAACGACTTGAATAATTTCGTGATATTCATACACGAAACGACTGAAAATCGAAAAAAATCACACTAAAACGTAATTTTTTACCTCATTTACGGGATTGATGTTGGCCATCTTGATAATCGTTGGGTTTTAACTGATTTCTACGAAAACAAATCACGATCTACAAAAGTCGAAATATTTGGAGGTTGAGAGGATTTTGTAAAAGGTTAAAGTATTTTTTGACAAATGAATTATTTCGCACTGTAGGCGTAAAAAACCGCACTATGAATAGTAAACAATTATTTCGCACTGTAGGCGTAAAAAACCGCACTATGAATAGTAAACCCCTTAAAGAAACCGTATATATATATAATTTTTTTTTTTTTTTTTTAATTCTTTGAAATTGCTTCCAAAGCTTGTTAAATTAGGTACTATAGGATTAATTCTTTGAAATTGCTTCCAAAGCTTGTTAAATTAGGTACTATAGGATGGTTATTAGCTAAATATGTATGACGAGTATTGAATGTTGGTTAATTGTTGTTAGCTTTATTTGCTCATTTTTTGCTTGAATTTGGTTTGAGGTTTCGCGGTGGCTTTTCAATTTGAAGGTGAGGAATTTTCTCAAAATTTCGACACACTTAGTTCAATATCGAATTTTGAATTAATTTTGGTAAGTTGCTGTCGATTTTTTGAGAAATGAATTTTCGTTGAAATACCAGACTTAATTCGGTCAAACATAGGCTAAAAAAGCAAGAGCAAGGAAGAAAAATAATTATTTCCCCAAATCTCCCCTTTTATTTATTTTAAATATTTATTATTATATATACTCTTTTTCTCCATCAATTTCTTTAAAACCCTAGTGGTGTTTTGGATGATCAGTGACTGTTTCTTCAGCTGTTCTTCATCAGTTGGAAATGGGTGCAAGTCGGAAGCTGCAGGGGGAGATTGACCGAGTTCTCAAGAAGGTTCAAGAGGGCGTCGATGTATTTGATAGCATCTGGAACAAGGTCGCGTTCTTGTATTTTCAAACAAGGGATCGTCCTCTTCTTGAAAATTGAATTTACACTTTCTGTTTGTACAGGTTTACGATACGGACAATGCAAACCAGAAGGAAAAATTCGAGGCGGACTTGAAGAAGGAGATAAAGAAGCTGCAGAGATACAGAGATCAGATCAAAACATGGATACAGTCCAGCGAGATCAAGGATAAGAAGGTATATCTACTGCTAAACTAGTACGTTGTTATCTAATCCCATCGTTTTCTTTTCTCTCTCAGAATTTGTGTCTTCTGGGTCAATTCTTTTGAAATGTATAACAACCTATGAATAAATTTTGAAAAAAGTATGGCTACGGATGAATATTGTTGAAGAATTTTCTTGTATAGAAAATAATTCATCTATCAAAGACCCCTTATTAAACAAATGAAACACTATTAATTAAACTCTGACAGAAAATGAAAAGCTACAGAGGAAAGCCTTCTTTACTAAGAGATGCGATATGGAGGGTCCGACAGTTGAAGAAAGTAGTAGCTCGGAATTGACATCCATAGACATAGTTCGTCGAGCAAGGGTGTCAACTGAGGAAAGGGGGCTGCGGGGGAGAGAGGGTTAATTTATTTTTTAACAAAATTTGTAGATAGGTAAAATTGTAGGAGACGAGTGCCACCACCAACCACGTCTCCAGTTGCCTCCATCCCTGAATCCGTCTAGTTTCCAATGGACTTAGGTTTTAGTGATTATTGTTAGGTTTTAGTGAAGCATTATGTGATTAAGTCTCAGGTATCAAGCATTTAGTGATTAATTCTTAGTTTTATTTGAGAAAAATTACTTTCTTTGTTAATGCTTGCAGTATGAATGTATTTTTCAATCTTTTATGGCCTGAAACTTGGAGTTCGAGATTCTCTAAACTATTTGCCGTGACTCGTGAAGGTGATTAATTAAACAAGGTTTTATAATATATATTTTTTTAATTCATTTGGTGATTTTCGTTATTGTTTCATTTAAGAATTATATGACCACTACTATATCTCTTAGTTTCAGCCTACTTTGCTCTGAACTTATAATTTCACAAATAATTTTTATTCCCAAAATACTCTTGCAACATGAATGTATTTCCAACTTTTGGTTATCCTTAAATTTTGGATTTTGAGATTCGTGGACCTTTTTCTCGTTTCATCTATTTTATTAGATACCTTTCTGGTTAAATACCTAATCTTGATGAAGAAGTTATCACGAGTTTATGATTGCTTATTTATTTGCTGAAAACTTTACAAGAGTTTGAAATTCATCTGCAAGTTTCTCAACCATTTTATTTTTATATTTATGTTTGAACTGTTTTTCAAGTTGTCCAGGCCTTTTGCTTTCTTGTTTCCAGAACTACGACTTGTTGATTTGTGTTTACAATAATCTAGATTGGCAAAAGAGAAAGATATATGTTCCTGTTAGACAGCTGAACTTGAAATGAATTAGAATATGCAAAAAAGAAGCACTAGAATAAGCCATCAACAATTGCCAAGGCCCAAGCTTGAACAAGTCAATGAATCATGGTATCGATTGGATTCATTTTTTGTTATATTATCTATTGAGTCCATGCTTTTGCAATGAAGCGAATATTTTTTGTGGACGGGGATTGTCATAATCTGACTGGATCTTCTACGGTTGCTAATGTTTTCATGTTATTATTTTTTCTTTCCTATTTTAAATTTGGCTTAGTTGACCTACAACTGAATCCACAGGAGATTGAACCCTTGATCTGTTACTACTCTCTCCACCCCAATACCACTTGGGCAATGCCTTCACGGTTCTATGGTTGCTAATGTTACTATAGAGAAGATGATAAATTTTTTAAGCGGCAACAACTATATTGTGAAGTAAATCTAAGCAATTGTCTTCTCTAAAGTAATCAGGCCAATTTTATTCCCTATTTTGTTTGTCATACATTTATGCACTTTATTGATTGTTGCTCCTACTCCTGTTCTCTTGTTGGCATACTCTTTTGCACTTCTTTTTGGCAAATTGTTTTTCATTGTTCTATGGTGGTAGATTTAGTTTTATAATATATTCTTTGGTTCTTCTTGCAGTAGCTGGTATAATCATATCTTCATCTTGTTTATGCTTATTTTCTCCTATGTTGACAATCAATTTTCTTTTGATACTTGTTGACTAGGTTAGTGCCTCTTATGAGCAGGCTCTGATGGATGCTCGAAAGCAAATTGAGCGTGAAATGGAACGATTTAAGATATGTGAAAAAGAAACGAAGACAAAAGCATTCTCAAAAGAAGGCCTTGGCCAACAACCTAAAACGGTAGGCATTAATTGTTGTTTTGCATCCCATTTAACATCCGTTAGGGGTGCAACGGGTAATTGCCAAAAAATAATCTTTCAATGTATACAATTAGATTAAAATGTCATGTGAATTATATCTCTGATCCATCAAAGTGTAACTATTTCGCTTGTGCAATAAAATACGATCCCTTCTTTGTAATAAAGTTGAAGAGGCGAAAATGTCTGTATATATCATGTATAGGGAGTTTTCTGATTATATGGGCTATCTCTGGCAATCAATGTAAGCATGTAAAGCCTACTGGTATTAGGTTGGTGTTTAGCATATTCTAACTTCTCTGGGCATGCATATCTTTCTTTGCTGTAGGATCCAAAGGAAAAGGCTAAAGGAGAAACAAGAGACTGGTTAAATAATGTGGTAATGCTCCTGGAAATTTGTTTGCATCTCGTTCACTTGGATTGCCTAATCATAGAGGCTGTTTAGCATGTAAAATTATCTCATCCATGTTCATCAGTTTTCCATCTTCCTACATTTATTGCATCATTGTTGAGTAACTGTTGCTTCAATAATTTGATTCTTTGGCAAGTGAAGCTGAACCGGTTAAAGCAAATACATATTATTTGATTTTCTTTCTATTTTCAGTTTATTTGCAATTGTTGTCATGCTTTCAGTTTAACTGTTCATGTTTTATCCATTCCTAAATGGAGGTCGACATATGAAGTGTCAAATTTTTGAATGATCTCAATGCAAGTTCTATTATCTATATATTTTTGTCCACTAAAGTAGTTGTCAGGAGTCGATGGCTGAAAATGTTTGGGTACTTTTGGATATTAAATTGCCCCTTTAGATTATGGAACATCATATGTTGGTGTTCCAGAGAAAAAACTAGAGCATTTTATTGATTCTTACTTAAGACATTGAATTGCATAGTGTAATCTATTATTCCGCCTTCCAAATACGTTTAATAGTTTTTGAAATATGTTATAGGTCAGCGAGCTGGAGAATCAAATTGATAGCTTTGAAGCTGAAATAGAGGGGCTTTCTGTTAAGAAAGGGAAGACGAGGCCACCCAGACTGGTATGTTAGGGACGGAAGGACATGCATCTTAATTCGGGTGAACTGACTTGAGCTTAGACTATGAAAAAATCTCTCTTTTTTTTTTGTTTATAGACGCATCTGGAGGCATCCATTAGTCGGCATAAAGCTCATATTATGAAGTTAGAATTAATTCTAAGGCTGTTGGATAATGATGAATTGAGCCCAGAACAAGTCAACGACGTAAAGGATTTCTTGGATGACTATGTGGAAAGAAATCAGGTACTTTTATTCAGTTTAAGTTAATGTTCTGTTCACACGATTTAGCTCCCCAACATGTTGTATTGTCTGCGATCTCTGAAACGTGAAGTATTTAAATCTTTAAACATTTCCAATTTTGGTTGTAGTTATTGATGAAATGTAAAGGTTTTGGGTGGTTAAGCTTTATTGTACTTTCCTTTTTGTAGGAGGACTTTGATGAATTTAGCGATGTCGATGAGCTTTACAGTTCTTTACCTCTGGACAAGGTGGAGTCTCTTGAAGATCTAGTTACTATCGGTCCTCCTGGTCTTGTAAAGGTGAATGGCTTCACTCATAATTACTTCTTTTTCATGAACTTTAGTGTAATCTCTTATTTAGTTCTTCTCTCTGCGCGTCTCTCCATATTTGTTTTGCAATAAATTTTCTAGATATGCCATTCCAGTAATTTCCATGTCTGTGTAGATCATATGTTGAGGGGTATATGGTTCCAAATTGTCTTTTATAGTAGACTACGATTAAAAATGAGAAAGTAA